CCTTAGGAGACAGCTACTACCCTGCTTCCTGTCCCCAGCAGACTTGACCAACACCTGGCACTTGGCCGACACTAGGCAAAAGCTGGGCTCGGTGGGTAAACTATTTTGAGCAAACAGCTGTTGGTTTCCATCCAGCACCACAACTGGCGAGCAACTTCTTGCCTTCCAGCAGCAAATGTAAGCCAGGCAAAACGGCCACTTGTGAGCCTTGCGACTCATGACTATATCTATGAAACGCACCCTTTAAAGGGTGGGGGTGCAGTTCAGAGCTAGAGAGCTTGCCCTTCCATGAACGAAGCCGGGGTTTGATCCCAGCTCCACTACACAGAAGGGCCACTACACGGCAGGATTGCTTGAGCCCAGGGATTCCAGATAAATGTGTTCAACCAACGTAGAAGGATTCCATGTCAAAGTCTGTAAGGCCAGAACTTAGGTGTTTGGGTGTCAAGATGAAATCAGATGACTCAGCTCTTTGGGGGGTGGTTTGGGAGGATTCCAGCTCCCAGCTGTAGGGGCTTTCCAGAAGCTGACTCAGGAACATGATCTGTTACCCCTGATAAGAAGAGGCTTTTTGTTCTGTTCTGTTTTGTTTTTCACATTGCTGCAGATGGAAACTAGGGTGTGAGCTTGTTCTGAAAAAAAGCTCTCCCACTGAGCTGTGTCCCTGTCTCCCTCAACCGCTGTTAGAAAGGTGCACGCATAAACTGTCCTGACGGTAACATGAACCATGCCATGTGATGGAATGACTGAAAGAGAGCTCTCTCCACTTTCTGAGTCCACCCTTCTCGTCTCTGTTAGATGCCCATGCAGGAAATGTTGTAGCCCGCTCCCTCCCAGTCTGATTCCAACAATGTTTCACTATGGTGATCTTTCCTCATTACTACTGGCCAGGTCTTTTCTGTATGTAAATTTATTCTCCCTCACTTTTTTTTGTGCCCTGGGAAGCTCATTTTAGACTAGACAGGGAAGGGGAGGAGGCCAATTACTTTGGTTTTCTTTTCTTCTTTCTTTTTTTTTTTTTTGGTGTGTGTGTTTGTTTTTTTGTTTTGATTTTTCGAGACAGGGTTTCTCTGTATGGTTTTGGAGCCTGTCCTGGAACTGGCTCTGTAGACCAGGCTGGCCTCAAACTCACAGAGATCCACCTGCCTCTGCCTCCCAAATGCTGGGATCAAAGGTGTGTGCCATCAACGCCTGGCTGCCAATTACTTTGTGTCTGGATAAAGTGTCTGGTTAGACTGGCCAGGCATGGTGGTGTATGCCTTTTATCCCAGCACTTGGGAAGTAGAGGCTGGAGAATATAGAGAATTCCGAGCCTGCTGGCACTGTGTCTCAAAAACAAACAAAACTCCAACCAAAGGAAACCACCACCACCACCAAAACCAAGTCAAATCCCCACCGCCCCGCTTTCTTGTTTGTAGGCATTTCCTACAAATTTGATCCTCCTGCCTGAGCCTGCAATTACAGGTGTAAAAGTCAAGTTGTAGCAAGAACTTCCCACCCTGGGAGTCTGATCACCTCAGTGTCTGCTTAGTTCCTCTTCCTCCACCAGCACCCACCCTCCTTTAGCAAGAATCTTGTTAGGTCAGTTTAGCCTGTGACCTGTTTAGCTTTTACTGTCAACTTGACACAGCATAGACTCACCTGAGAAGGTCTTTGATTGACCTCTGGGCACTGTGGGGACCACTGACCTATGGGGAGTTATCTTTATTGATAGCTGAGGTAGGAGGGCCCAGCCTACTATGGTCTGTACCATCCCTAGGCAGATGGTCCTGGGCTCTAGAGGAAAGGTGGCTGAGCATGAGCCTGAGGGAGCCAGTTCCTTGCCTGTGAATGAGTCTGTCAGTCAGAAGTATTGTGTGGAATAGCAAGCAGGCTTGCTTTCAGGTTCCTACTTGAAGTCTCGCTTTGACTTCCCTCACTGACTGTGACAGACTGTGACAGGTAAGCTGGCACAAACCCTTTCTTCCCCTAAGTGTTTTTATCTCAGCCACATCGTGAAACCAGAACAGTTCCTCTTGGCAATTCCCCATCCCCTCACCACCTCCTGCCCATACTCCTTGTGTATAAATCCCCCCTTGCTGTGTTGTATGGATTTGACTCAGTTTCTCTCTCACTACCACGTCAACTGTCAGAGCAGTCCGCAGCCCCATCACAAGAGTCTTCCTTTTCATGCTTTCTCAAATATGACTGGGTGTTTGCTTTTATCTAACAATAAAACGTATTCACGATGCTCTGGTTCTATGTGCTTTGTCCCCGAAAGGCTCATGTGTCTTTGTGGCTTACGGGAGGCACGAGGCTAATGGGATTTGATTAAGTCATTTTGGGGGGGTATCATCCATGAAGAGGTTAGACTCTACTCAGGACAAGCCAGTATGTTCCCAAGAGAATAAGATACTAGAAAAAAAAAAAAGCATGTCTGCCCGTCTTCACCCTTTACCGTCCTGGCTTCCCACTTGACCACTCCCATATGCTGCCTACTACTGGATTCTCCAATCACCAAGCCTTCTTCAAGGGACTGACCTGATAGTGTGGTCCAGTTTTGGACCTCCAGACTCCAAAACTGTATCACAGAGCTCCCTCCGGTTCTTCCTCCACTTGTCTTCCTCCTTCTCCCTCTTGGGGTCTCATGTATTCTAGACTACCCCCCAAACTCACTCACCTTGAACTTTAGATCTTCCCATTGCTGTTGTTACAGGCACAAGTCACCAGACCTGGATTTGTGCTGCGCTGTTTTGTTACAGCAGCAGAAAAAGAACAAATAATACACTTAACATGGCTTTTAAGATGTTTTTGAAAGCTGGGTGGTGTTGGTGAACGCCTTTAATCCCAGCACTTGGGAGGTAGATGCAGGCAGATCTTTGTGAGTTCGAGACCAGCTTGGTCTACAAGAGCTAGTTTCAGGGTAGCCTCTAGAATCACAGAGAAACCCTGTCTCGAAAAAGTTTTTGGAAGGTAGGTGTGATGGCACATGCTTTTAATCCCAGTACTTGAGAGGCATAGGCAGTCAGATGTCTGAGTTCAAGGCCATCCTAGTCTACAGAACTAGTTCATGGACAGCCAGGACTACACAGGGACACCATGTCTCAATGACCCCCTCCTCCCCCAAAAGAGGCATTAGCCAGGCATGGTGCTACATGCCTGTAATCAGGGCACTGCGGGACGGATGCAGGAGGGTTGGGAGTCGGAAAACAGCCTGGGCTAAGTAGAAAAAAGCAAAGCAAAACAAAAGGTCTGAAGTCAGGGAGATGGTGGTGATAACAGCTCTGTGAGAAGAGCATTGTGTCCTGAGCTGCTCATCTTGCTGGCATTGCCACACCATGATGTGTCAGCTTCCACAAGTAGAGACAAGTTGGAAGTGCTGACTCTTACAGAACCCTTGCCTCACCGGACAGGACAGGTGAGGGATGCGCACCGGCGGCTGAAATTAATTTGTGTTTCCTCACATTCTGGCTCTCAGCTCTCCAGTTCTCCTTGATGTGCGTTTGTTTTTTTTAAGCAAGCACCACCCCTAGAGCCCTTGTGGGGTGTGTGTGTGTGTCCAGATCTGTCCCATCTTTCACTCACTTGCAAAACACTGACAGGGGGCCTGGGAACCAAACTCAGGTTCTCTGTAGAGGACCCTAACAGGTGAGCCAGGGCAGACCAGGGCTCTTGTCCCACCCACATGGGCTTAGTCCACTTTTACTTGGCCCCTGAGGTGATATCCTGCTAAACTGGCGCCTCCTTGTGGGGATGACAGGGCAGGGCATCAGATCCCCACCACCACCACTACCACCACCAGACAGGGTTTCCCTGTGTAGCTTTGGAGCCTGTCCTGGAGCTAGCTCTTGCAGACCAGGCTGGCCTTAAACTCACAGAAATTTGCCTGCCTCTGCCTCCTGAGTGCTGGGATTAAAGGTGTGCTCCCACATCCCCCAGCAGGACATCGGATTATGGAGACATCCTCATGAGGAATTGTCATCCATCAGTAGAAGCAAATCGTCGCTTGTCTTGAGGAAAGCGGGGAGGTGGAGGAACAGCAGAACAGGCCACCCCTTCAAGAACAAGGAGGGAGTGTTCCCCAGTCATGGACACACAGCGCCTGAGGCATCGTGGGCACCCGTTAAATATGTATGAAATGCATGAAAAGAAACCCAGCGGTGAGAAAGTTATGTGTTCAAGGACAAGTGATGAGAAAGGAAGCATAATAGAAATCGGGTGCTGAGGAACAGATTATTGCCTTTGTTCTGGAAAATAGACAGACCTAATAGTTCTATTCTGGGCGGCAGGAATTGAACTCATTTTATTAGGCTTGTCAGCCGATGCCTTTACCAACTGGCCATCTTGCTAGCCCGAGTGATTTCTTTTTCTTTCCTTAGACTTAAGGAGAGGGCAGCACATTAGCAGGCTGTTACACAGAGAAACCCTGTCTTCAAAAACAAAGCAAACAAACAAAAATTATGAAGAGGCTGGTGGCAAACTCCTTTATTTTGTGTTGAGGCAGATGGATCTCTCCGAAGTCAGCCTTATCTACGTGACAAGCTGGAGGCCAGCCTGTGCAACATGAGCCCCTGTCTTAAAACAACAATAATTTCCAGACAGGGTTTCTCTGTGTAGCACTAGCTGTCCTGGAACTAGCTCTGTAGACCAGGCTGGCCTCAAACTCATAGAAATCCGAGGGTGTCTGCCCCCTGAGTGCTGGGATTAAAGGCATGCACTAACAAACCAACACAATAACAACAAACAAAATTTACTCTGAATAGGAGAGACAGCCAAAGGTCAGGTGTTGGCAGGCCCCTTGCAATGACAAACCTGGGGCGGGGCAGGTGAGCATGAATGGGTAGCCACGGTCTGGCTTATTGACCAATCCATACAGGGGCTGAAGTCCGGAGTGGGGCAGGTGGAGAAATGCTCGGGTCTTGGGGCCCTACCTGCCTCTTTGATCCCAGGGTATCTGTGACCTTTGAGTCCGGCAACTGGGGGCTGGCACACCGGCTGGGTTGGGCTCCTCAATAGGCAGCATGCTACGGCTGCTCATGTCCAGTTGTGCCCGGGGCCTGGGATCCCGAGTGGCCACGTGGCATCCCTCTGTGGGGCTCCTCTGTCCTGGGCAACCCAGGATTCTCCAGGTTTCAGATGCCGCAGGTGCCCGGCGTCACCAGTCCTCCAGCTCTGAGTCACTGGTACAGCTGGTGGGCATCTGCTCTATGATGCACCTGCGCTTGCAGTCCTCCCCAGAAGGGCTGGACGCTGCCTTCATCGGTGTGCCTCTGGACACTGGGACCTCCAACCGGCCTGGGGCAAGGTAAGGCCGGAAGCACCGGGGCTGCGGACACATGGTTGGGAGTGTAGAGGCGCTCGGGCTGGCAGCTTTTCACCCAGGCCATTGTGGGATCAGGGAGGGTGACTCCCTCCTCCTTCAACAAGCAACACCAAGGCTAAACACAGGGTTGGAAGGCCAGCCCTGACATACCAGGGTCATCAGTGGTCAAGAAAGGTGTCTGTGCACTCCTGTAACCTCAGGAAACCAAGGCTGCTCAGAGAGGCCAGCCTGGGCTGCATTAGCAGGCCAGGAGGGTTTCTAGAACCCCAGCCTTGCTGGGATGGTAGGTGCACATACCTAATTCCATCCCAGGAGCCACTGGTTTGAGAATAGATGTTGCTCGTCCCTTCTCCAAACCCCTAGCTATCAAAGTAAAAGAGACATAAAATCTATTTTCTTAATTAGCAAGCATCAGCAGTTTCAACTTCAGCTCATTACATCTGACTGTATCTGTCTGAATTTTAAGAGCTGCCATTTATTAAATGTCAACGATCCCAGGGTATTTTGCAAAGTTGACCTTGTTTAACTCTTACAACCACACCGTGACATAAATGACAGCTTCATTCTTTTAAAGATCAGGAAACAGAAACTTGGGTTAAGGAATTGTCTAATGCTACTTAATGAATTGGTGGTGGGTGGGCTCTTGAGTCTAGAGATGGAGGGGTGTGTCTGAGTGATGAAGCCCAGCAAGGAAAAGACAAACAGGCAAAGAACAAAGTGGAGACTGTGTCTCATGCTGGCACTTAATTTTTAAAAGTATTTATTTTTATTTTATGCATACATATGTTTTTGTCTACGTGAATATGTGTGCACCACATCTCTGCCTGGTGCTGAGTAGATAGAGGGGGACAGTGATGAGTCCCCCAAGAACTGGAAAGTTGTGAGCTGCCATGCCGGTGCTGGAAACTAAACCCAGATCATCTGTAAGAGCAGCCAGTGTTCCTAACTCATGAGCCGTCTCTCTAGCTCCTTACACAAATGGTTATTTCATATGTGTGCCCGTATGCATCATGTGGGTAGGGACCGGAAGACAGCCGCGAGTCATCTTCAGTATCCCGGTCCACCTCATTCCTGACAGGGTCTCTCACTGACCATGAGTTCACTGAGTAGTCTAGAATGGTGGACCAGGGAACTCCTACTGACCCTCCTGTCCTGATTCCCCAGTGCTGGGATTCCAAGTAGGTGCCACCACACCTGGCAGTTATATATGGGTTCTGGAGATCAAACCTGGGTCCTTCCATGTGCTTTACTGACTGACCCATTCTTGTACTGAGATAAACAACTAAATCACCCTCAGATACTGTGTTAACGGTGGTAGAAAACCATGGTCATGCGTACTGGCAATGGTCATGCACTGGCAATCACAGCTCTCAGGAGGCTGAGGCGGGAAGATTGGGAATTTGAGGTGATCTTGGGCTACACAGCGAGTTTTGTGCCAGCTTGGGCAACATAGCACGACCCTGTTAAACAAAGAATAAAATTCAAAAAAGGTCAAAAACGCCTCCAAATATACATAGATGAATGGCTCTCGGTGGGGCCCAGTGGTAATGTCTGCTAACATCCAGACATATTTTTTACTTGGCGCAGGTTTGGAGGAAGAGGCACTTATGATTGCTAGTGGTTACAGACTGTCCCACAGCCCAGAGTCCCAAATGTCAGGAAACAGAGAAGCGCCATTCAGGTGCAGCCAGCCTTCAGAGCTCTGCAGCAGCAGCAGCAGCTGACACGTAAATGATTCTTCTTCTCCAGATTTGGACCCCATCGCATCCGGGAGGAATCGGGGATGCTGGGGGCTGTCAATCCCAGCACGGGAGCCCTCCCCTTCCAGTCCCTCAAGGTTGCAGATCTAGGCAATGTGAATGTCAATCTTTACAACCTCCAGGACAGCTGCCGGCTAATTCGAGAGGTCTATCAGAACGTCTTGGAAGCCGGCTGCATTCCTCTGACCTTGGGTAATGGCTGCCAGCAAGGGCAAACGTAGCTTTTTCATGGTAGTCTGGGTAGGGTGGTTATTCAATATAAGCCCATGAGCAGCAGTTCTCCAGGGGCAGCTGCTGTGAAGATGGACACAGAAGGAAAGTGAACATTCCAGGTCACTCGTTTTAACCCCAGGGGAGAGGATATTTAATATTTTGGGAGACCTGGCAGGAAGGCTAACAGAGTAAGACCCAGTCTGGGGTGGGGTGGGGGTGGGGTTAACTAGGACAAGGCCAGTGAGGCATTTGCCTTAGGGCAGAAAAAAAAATCAATAGTTAAAATCGACAAATTAGGATAAGTAACCTATTCCCTGCCTTTGCTTCAAGCCCCAGTTTAACTAGGAGAATTGGTGTTACTGGTTTTGTTGTTGTTCATCCAAGAATTTCTTTTTGCGTTGATTTTGATTTTCCAAAAAAAAAAACTACAATTTCAAAATAGTATTGACCTTATTTAATTAAGTTGTGACTTTTTTCCCTTCTTTTAAATGTTCTACCCCAAGACTATGCTTTCAGGGATCATTTCTATAGTTTGTTAAATGTTCTACCCCTGCATGTATGTCACCCACCTCTTCCCAGCCCTCTATCATCTCAGGTCTGTCACCCACCTCTTCCCTATGCTCTCAGACCTGGAGATGGCTATCAACAGCAGCTCAAGTGCAGCTTCCCAACTTGACAGACAAAAATATTTTTAGTGGCTATGAGAACTACATGAAGGTCTTTCTTTTGTTCTTTTTTTTTCCTTTCCTTTTTTTCTCCCCCCTTTTTCGAGACAGGGTTTCTCTGTGTAGCTCTGGCTGTCTTGGAACTCACTCTATAGACCAGGCTAGCCTCGAACTCACAGAGATCTGCCTGCCTCTGCCTCCTGTGTGCTGGGCTTAAAGGTGTGTGCCACTACCACCCAGCTCCTTCTTTCATTTTTTTTCTTGCATTTATTTAGTGTGTGTTCATGCACACACATGTGTATGCATATATGAAGATAAGAATCCAACTTTTGGGAGTCTGTTCTCTCCTTTCAACATGTGAGTCCTGGGGATCAAACACTGGTAATCAGGCTTGGCAACAAACACCTTTATCCTCTGAGCCATCTTGTCTGCACTCCAGAGGATATATCTGAACTGGTCAGAATTTGCATCAATCTATCGGGCAGTGGCCCACTATTTCCTCTCTGTCACATTGAAACAATGTGAACGGTGTTTGTTCATTCATTCATTCATTCATTCATTCATTCATTCATTCATTGTGTCAGATTCCCTGGAACTGGAGTTACAGACAGTTGCCAGCCACCATGTGAGTGCTGGGAATTGAACCTGGGTCCTCTGGAAGAGCAGCCAGTGCTCTTAATCACTGAGCCATCTCACCAGCTTGTTTTTGTTTTTAAACATCCCCATTTATTTCTGTCAATTTGAATGGCTTAGTTACCAGAAAGATGGCTTCAGGATGCCAGTTTTTGACATCTCGACCCAGCTCTCACAATCTGCTTCGCAGTCGGTGTTGTTAGGTTTGGTTTTTATCTATCAACAGGTAGAGTGACAATGCCTATCTCACTGCACTGTGGGCAGGACTGTAGTTAGCAAGCTCAATATTGTGCTTTGAATACACAAAGATTCAATAAAACTCAGCTATGGTTACTATCAATAACTATCAATACTTGCCCTTGAGCTGTCCTGCTCAATAGGGTGGTCTGTCTTCCCAGCTACTCCTGATACTAAGGCAAGGGGAGCACAAGTTCAAAGCTAGACTGGACTCAAGTCTAGCCTGGGCAACTTAGTGACACCCTGTCACAGGATTTTAAAAAACGAACAAATAAATAAGTAGAAAGACAGTACTGGCAAATAACACCATAACTTCATACCTAGATAGCACAAACAACACTAAATGTATAGACCGATGACATGACAGCTCCATGGTATGGGTTAGGGGAAGGTTTTTATTGTAGATAAGAGAGAGAGAACAGCCAGAAACCTCTGGAAGAGTTCAGAGCGGAGATAAAAAGAAGTAGACTGAAGGCAGCCTGCAGAAAGATAGGGAGGAGGGAATCAAGAGAGAGAGAAGGAAAGAGGAGGCCCTAGAGAGTGAGCAAAAAAGAAGAGTGTAGCCAAAGACATAGCAGTTATAAGGAGAACGCGGAGCTGGGTGGAGGGAAGCCCATGAGTTGGAGAAGTTTGGGGCAGGGAATTAGCTGAGAAGAGCTAGGATGCCAGCACGGACTCAGAAATATATAGGAGGCAGGTATCTGTGATGCTGAGGGATCATGGAGGCCAGCTTGTGCTCTGATATGCTAATAGGCACCAGAGACAGCCATTTGTCCCTTCTGCCAGTGATAAGAGAAACCGCTCCTTTGGTAGAGGGGAACCAGTTTCACAAGTTCCTGAGGAACACTGGCTTTTGTCCAGCCCCAAGAATTTGAGGAAATGGAGTTCCTGGGCCTGATGCCCAGGGGGGAGAAAGACTCAGTGAAAGGGAAAAAAAAAAAAAGGCACAAAGATAAGAGGAAGATGTGTTGGACAGGAGGGTTGCAAGGGGAATGGGAGATGAATATGATCAAAACACTTTCTGTATGAGTCTGGAAAGGTCTCTGTGGTTAAGAGCTAATGCTGTTCTCCTATTGACTTGAGTTCAATTCCCAGCACCCATGTCAGCCGGTCCTCAAAATTATTTCCTAAAGAAGATGAGATGAATGTGGCAGAGCCCTTGCTGAGCGTGAGGCTCTGAGTTCAATCCCCAGTGCAGAAAATTAGTAAGTGAATAAACAAAAGAATGTAGTATGAATTGGAGTATGGGGCTGGAGAGATGGTTCCTACTTAGGAATCCTGCAGTTCTTGTACAGGACTCAGATTCAAGTCCCAGCACCCACATGGCAGCTCACAGTCATCTGTAACTCCAGTTCCAGGGGAGCCAATGCCCTCTTCTGACTTCTGACGGCAACAAGGCATAAGCGCCATACAGAGACACACACACAAACAAAACACTCAAACACATAAAAATATAAGTAAATCTTTTCTTTTTTGGGTTTTTCAAGATAGGGTTTCTCTGTATTGCTTTGCAGCCTGTCCTGGAACTAGCTATGTAGACCAGGCTGGCCTCGAACTCACAGAGATCCCCCTGCCTCCTGAGTGCTGGGATTAAAGGTGTGCTCCACCAATGCCCGGCTAACAAAAACATTAAAAAATATTTGAGCCATAAAGATGGCTCATTGTGTAAAAGTGCTTGCCATGCAAGCCAGATGACCTGAATTTGATCCCTGGAACATTAGGGTAGGAGGGAACTGACTCTTCCAAGTGGTCCTCTGATCTCCATACATAGGCCATCAGTCATACACATCATGCAGATGTAGTTGGATGCTTCTCTACCAACTGCCTGTTCCCAAATAACCAATACGGAGGCTGAATATGAATTATAAATGCTTGGCCAATAGCTCAGGCTTATTACTAGCTAACTCTTACACTTTAAGTTAACCCATATTCCTCATTAATGCTCTGCCGTGTGGTAGTACCTTCATTAACATGTCACATTCATCTGCTGTCTCCACATCTGCCATCAACGCCCTGACTCTGCCCTTCTCCTTCCCAGAATTCTCCTAGTCTGGCTCTAGCACTCAATCTTTTCCTGCCCAGCTATCGGCCAATCTGCTTTTTATTAGCTAGTGAGAGTAATACATATTTATAGTGTAGAAAAGGATTGTTCCACAGCGCGCGCGCGCGCGCGCGTGTGTGTGCGCACACACACACACACACACAAGTAAGAACTAAAACCAATGGAAAATAAGGTCTTCAGTGCCTCTGCTATTTATCTCGTATCGGGCAGTGTAGGCAGAGGCTGTTCATACTACCGCAGGGCCTTCACACACACCATCACAGGGAGGTCTGTAGGACAGAGCTGTGTTTTAGAAAAACTCACAAGCTTTGATTTATGCAATGAATTATGTGTCTGAGTGTGGGAATGTGCCAGTGCGTACAGGTGTTGGTGAAGGCCAACGGTGGGGTCCCCTGGAGCTGGAGTTATAGGTGGTGTGTGAGCTAACACGAGTTATGAGCAATACATATCATAACCGTCCCTCCAGCTCCATGCAGTCTCTCTCTAATAATGGGGGGAAGGCGTTTTCCTTTAAAAATGACTCCAACGCTCATTTAGCTGTGGATACAGTTCTACGGTGTACCTGAAATGGTGGCGGCATTGGGTGACTTTGGGACTGGTGCACTCCATTTGTAGATGTGTGCTGTGCTGTTCTCTCTGTGCAGGCGGAGACCACACAATCACATATCCCATACTGCAAGCCGTGGCAAAAAAGTAAGTCCCTAAGGTTTCAGCATTTGGGAGCTAAGGTCCAGTTGCAACTAGGTGGCATCAAGTGACCACTGTGGCCTCAGATGGAGGGGTGATTGGGGATTCCCCACTGAGTTGTTTCTTTGGTTCAAAACTAAGGCTGTCTGTCAGTCAAGCCCTTTCCCTTGGCCTATGTCTGCTGTGGTACACACTCTGCAGTTTCAGTTGGACTCTGATTTGGAAAATGAATCCCTAGTGAGAAATACAACCCCAGCTACCTTTTGTCTGTTTTGCATTGTTAGCCAAATTCAAATATTGACGTGTGTGTGGGGGGCGGCTGTTTCCCCCTCATAGACTCCCTCCTTGCCTAGACAACAAAAACTAAATTTTTCAGTAGATGGAAGTCTACACCTATTGGTCAACTTTGGCTGATTTAGTTGGAGGAAGATGGTATGTGGGAACTTCAGAATCTGTTTCGGGGAAGGCATGTGTGTGGCATCCTGACTGGGGTGGGTGGAGTCAGTCTTGTCTCAAGCTGTCCTAGTCTCCCACTAGTGTGGACTGTGTTATTTGGGGTGTCTGGAAGAGCTGATGGAGAGGAGCAGGGGGAGAGCATCCTGTCGGTGCCTTAGCTGTAGGAAAGGTGACTCTGGTTCCTGGTTCAGGCTGAGTTTCATCCTGTGTCATTGTCCTTCTCTCTGAAGTTCTGGGTGGCAGGCCAGTCATATCTGCTTCTACCCGGTTTCCTCAGGATGCTAAGTGAGCTGAACACAAAAGAGGGACGTAAAGCTGGTAGCCGACGTCTGTATCCTTGAACTCTGACTTCTGAAGTGCTGTTTTGTCATCAGGCATGGCCCTGTGGGTCTAGTGCACGTGGGTGCCCACACCAACACAGCCGACAAAACGCTAGGGGAGAAGGTCTATCATCGGACAGCTTTCCGCCGAAGCGTGGATGACGGACTGCTGGACTGTAAGCGGGTGGTGCAGATCGGCATCCGGGGCTCTTCCGTGACTTTGGATCCCTACAGATACAGTCGGAGCCAGGTGATGGACTGGAAGTCCTCCTCTCTTCCCCCAAAGTATCTTCTCTGTTGTCGAAGAGGGATTCCCAGCGGCTTTACTGAAGTTCAGAAAGTAGGGCTGGGGCCAGATGTGGCAGTCTCCAAGGATCAAGAATCCAACATCATTCTCAGCTTCATATTGAGTTCCGGGCTAGCCTGGGCTACATGGGACCTCCTTTGAGGACAAAGCCAAAAATGGCCTGGCACAATGGCTCATCAAGTAAAGGCACTTGCCACTGAGTCTGATGGCCTGAATTGGATCCCTGGGTCCCACAGGGTGGAAGGGAAGAAGCTTGTCTTCTGACCAACCTGCACACATGTACCACACACCCACCAACCATGACATATGCATGCCTGTGTTTCCGCTGCCCCCCCCTCACAAAGATGAGAAAAGCAAGCAGAGATGAAAAGCCGAGTCTGAATCAAGAGTCATGTGGCAAGGGTAGTGAGACTTGGTTGTTGATTTATGTTTTTGTTTTGTTTTGATACAAGGTCTTATTTTGTAGCCTAGGCTGGCCTGCAACTCATGGTGATCCTCCTGCCTCAGCCTCCTGAGATATTGGAATTACAGGTGAGAGCCACTGTGCCTGGCTCAGACAGACATTAATGAGGCAAGAACAGCCTTCTACTGCACAGTAGAATGAAGCAGAAAGTTAATCCCTTAGAGGTTGCTGGCTTAGAAGACTTGGAGGTGTGAACCTGAGCCTAGGCCCGACACTCCTCGTGTTTACCATAACACCCAGCAGATGGAAGGCTCTGGTCTGAACACAGGGCAAGGCTCCCACAGAAACACCCCAGTCCCTTCCTTCTTTTGAGACAGGGTCTCACGATGTATCTCCGGTTGTTCTGGAAGTCACTTTGTAAACCAGACTAGCTTTGAACTCACAGAGATCCACCTGCCTCTGCCTATGAGTGCTGGGATTAAAGGCGTGCGTTACCACATCTGGTCCTTCTTTTTCTTTTTCAAGACAGGATTAAGACAGGGTTTCTCTGTGTAACAGCTGTGGTTGTACTGGAACTCATTTCCTAGACCAAGCTGGCCTCGAAATCAGATATACACCTGCCTCTGCCTCCCAAAAGCTGGGATTAAAGGCATGTGCCACCATGCCAAACTATGTCCCATTACTTTCAATTACATTTATTTATTGTATGTGTGTGTGTAAGTGCCGAGGCATGAATATGAGGACAAGTTGTGGAGTTGGTTCCCTTCTGCTTTGTGGGTCTTGGGGATTGAGCTCAGGTCATTAGGCTTGGGACCAAGGGTTCTCACTCTAGGTGAGCTGTCTCAACCACCCAGTCCCTTGATTTTAGGATGTGTCAAGGCCAATGGTCCAGAAGAAGCATCTAGAATTTTTTCTAGGAGGATCATAAGATGAGGGAGAGGTTCCCAAGGGGGTCCCAAGAGGAGGGAGGGGAGTCCCAGATTGAATAATATTTATCTGGAGTGAATCTGACCTGTTTGGGTGGGTCCAACTTGGCTCCCTGGAATTTACAAGAATCCTTTGAGTCATGACTCCTTTCAAGCAACCTTCTCACAGGTCACATATCAGATAGCCCTATGTATCAGATCTTTACATTACAATTTATAACAGTAGCAAAAGCACAGTTGTGAAGTGGCAATGAAAATAATGTTATGGTAGGGTCTCAGCATTATGGGAGGTTGACAACCACTGTCCTAGAGGCTTAAATGACCAAGTTTTTCACCCTTGGTTTTAGCTAAGCTCTTTTCTGATCCTGACACTGAGGTCAGCTTTGACCTTGCTCCCCAGTTTATCAGTAGAGTGGGGACCATGGTTCCCCTCATGGCAGTGGAGATCAGATGTGGTCGTCTGCGTGTGAGAAGCCGTACGAGGTCAGCTATGATCTGCAGCTCTCTGGTTCTCCCGTCCTCAGGGCTTCCGTGTGGTCCTGGCTGAAGACTGCTGGATGAAGTCATTGGTTCCCCTGATGGCAGAGATCAGGCAACAGATGGAGGGCAAGCCTCTTTACATCAGCTTTGGCATAGATGCCTTGGATCCTGCCTATGCCCCGGGAACAGGGGCACCGGAAGTTGCTGGGCTTACCCCTAGTCAGGTAAGTGGGTTTGCTCAGTGAATTTCCAGGGTGGATATTCTTTTAATGTATGTGTTGCCCACCTTGTCCATGGTTCTGTGGTGTGTGTGTGTGTGTGTGTGTGTGTACAGGCATGTGTGTACAGGTTCCCATAGAGGCTAGAAAGAACACTGGATCCTTCTAGAGTTGGATTTACAGGTGGCTGTAAACACACCTAATGTGGATGCTGGGAACCAAACTTGGATTCTCTGCAAAAGCAATAACCTCTCTTTACTGTTGAGCCATCTTCCCAGCTCTAGATGATGTATTTCTTTTTTGCTTTTTAAAACATTTTTTTGTTTTACATTCCATTCCAAGTTCCCCCTTCCTCTTCTCTTCCTGCTCTCCTCTCCTTCCCCCATCCTACCTCCCATTCACTCCTTAGTGAGGGTAAGGCCTCCTCTAGGATGTCAACTAATCTGTCCCATCACCTCATTGAGGCAGGACCAAGGTGTCCCTCCCTCCCGTGCCTCGGCTGAGTAAGGTGTCTCTCCATAGAGAATGGGCTCCACAAAGTCAGTTTGTGCATTATAGTTAGATCTTGGTCCCACTGCCATTGGTCTCTTATACTGCCCAAGCCACACCACTGTCACCGGTATCCAGGCGTCCTAATTCAGTCCTATGCCAGTTCTCCAGTTGACAGTTCAGAGTCATCAATCTCTCGCTTGCTTGGGTCAGCTGACTGTGTGGGTTTCCCCATCATCATCTCGACTCCTTTGTTCATATTATCGCTCCTCCATCATTTCAATTGTACTCCAGGAGCTTGACCTAATGGTTAGTTGTGGATTTCTGCATCTACTTCCATGTTTCTGAAAGAGGGATCTAGCTTCTCTGGGGTTGTTGTGGAGTGTAGGCTGGGTATCTTTTGATTTATGCCTGTTATCCACTAATGAGTGAGTACATACTATATTTGTCTTTCTAGATCTGGGTTACCTCACTCAAGATGTTTTTTTTCTAGTTCTGTCCATTTGCTTGCAAATTTAAAGATGTTATTGTTTCTTACCATTGAGTAGTACTCCATTGTATAAATGTACCACATTTTCTTTAACCATTCTTCAGTTGAGGAGTATCTAGATTGTTTCCAAGTTCTGACTATTATGAATAATGTTGCTATGAACATAGTTGAACAAATGTCCTTGTGGTGTGAGTGTGCCTCTTTTAGGTGGATGCCCATAAGTGATATTGCAGGGTCTTGAGATAGACTGATTCCTAATTTTCTAAGAATACTGATTTCCACAGTGCTGACAAGTTTGTGCTCCCACCAGCTAGAAGGTGTATTTTATTTCTGAATTTTTTATTGATTGCTAATTTCACACCATGTACCCCAATCCCACTTATCTCCCTGTCATATCTGCCCTCTGCTCTTGCAACCTACCCACAAAAAAAGACAAAACAAAGCAACCCCCTCCCTCTCTCGCCAAAAAAACCCCCAAAAAACAAAACAACTCATCGTGGAAGCCATAGTTTGTCCCAGTGAGTCACACAGTATGTATACCCTTTAGTCCATACATCTGTACTTGAAAATGTTCATTGCAATGAGTCATTGGTCTGGTTCAAGCCCTCTGGCTTCTACTACACTGTCAATACTGGATCCTCACTGGGACTTCTCTTGGGTATCTGTTGTGGCTCTGTATTGTGCAGACCCTGCAGCTTTGGATCTGCAGGATCTGCCCCTTCAGGTGCTCCTGTAGTTCACAGATAGGGTGACTGTTGGGGTGGGCCAAGTGGTAGCCTGGTCTCGGGACCTGGGTGGTAGCCTGCTGGCTCTCCTGCATCCTTACCACCTGGGCGAGCTCTCCAGCATTTCCCCTGGCTAGCTTACCCAGGGCTGCAGGGTTCAGGCTTGCCTTGAATTATATAGCTCAAGCAGACCTCTCACTTGATTTCTGAGTGCTGGACTACGGGCTTGCACCACCAGGGTAGGATTTGAAAGACACAGAACCTGGATGTGCCCAACCTATGGCCTAAGGGTTGCCTGTCCCATTTGGCTAAGGATAGCTGTGGATAGCGCCCAAAACTAAACTTACTTAAAGCATTGAGATTAAAGCCAGGCAGTATTGGCACATACCTTTTAATCCCGGCACTCGGGAGGCAGGTGGGGGCTCTGTGAGTTCGAGGCCAGCCTGGTCTATTGAGCAAGTTGTAGGACAGTCTCCAAAGCTACAGAGAAACTGTTTCGAAAAAACAAAAAACCGCCTCCCTAAGAATCCCAAAACGCCCCCAAAACAAACAAAACATTGAGATTAAAAAAAAAAAAAGACCATAACGTGTGTCATGGTGTCATGAAGTTGGGTAGGCCTGAGTATTGTCAGGGCTGACTGTATAGTTTTGGGTACTCAATGGACAGGCACCAATTTGAGCTTGTTTGTGGTTTTCTAACTTCTTGTCTTGTAGCTAGTGATGAAACCCAGGCCTCACACATACCAAGTTAATGCTCTACCCCTGAGCTATGGGACCATCCCGAAGGCTCTGAGAATCCTTGATTATGTTTTCTGCCTCTGGTTCGTTCATAGTCAATTCATGGGGATTGTTTTGTAGTGTCCCCTCTTAAGAACACTGAACTTTGGGACTGGTAGTGTAGCTCCGTAGTGGCACACATGCTTAGCATGAACAGAGCTCTTTATGCTGTTCCCAGCTCCCAAACAAGCTGCTTAGTTAAGTATACACATGGAGACTGGCTCCAGGTGGCTGGAACATTTCGGAGTCAAGCCTGATAAGCTACACTGAGATCCATAAGGGACAGAGCAGGGCCTTTCCACTGTCTACTGCCTTGTCCTTGGAGCCCAGGGTATGAGTGGCAGGTCGTCCAAGGTGTGAGTGAATTGCAAGCATCTTTCAAGAAAGGAGGATGCTCATAACTGCGTCTCTCACAGCCATTCCGTCCTATCAGAAGCATTTCTGGAGCAATCCTAAACCCTCTGCCTTTGTACCTGTTTCTTAATGTCACCTTGGGTTATATCCATCTACTTGTGCTATAGGCTGTGTCTTTGCCCATAGGGCTTAGTCATCTCTTTTGCCAGTCCCTCGAAGTGTTTGTATTTCAGGGAGCCTTTCCCCACTCAGGCTGTCTCCTGCAGGCTGCTTGTCTCAAGGCTCTTGACACATGAATGGCTCACTTGGCTCTTCCATGAAGCCCTGAGGAGAGGGACTGGGTGTGTCCCTGGGAAGCATACCACCGTGGCTGTAGTGAGCGCTAGTCTTGGTCAGGGGTGGGTGTCCATGCCTCTGTCCGATGCTTTTCACTGGAGATGACTGTCACTTCCACCTTGGACAGGCCCTGGAGATCATCCGCGGCTGCCAAGGCCTGAATGTGGTGGGCTGCGATCTTGTGGAGGTATCCCCACCGTACGATCTCTCAGGTGAGTAGCGGAAGAATGACCCGCATGCAGCTGGCAGCTTGAGTTAGGTTCACCTAGTGACTGAGGTCTCCATGTTTACCCCGGGCACCCTGTCTAGCTATGGAGAGAGAGGGCACCCTGTGGATTATGTCCAGCTGTGGAGAGAGGGGCCTGCTACCACAAATGTGACAAGCATGAGCTAACGAACCAAACAAGACCCCTGGGAGGTGCCAGATGTTATTAGTTAAGAGAGAACCAACAGTCTGCTGTTTTTGTGACAGGCCGGCTCAGTTATATCTTCTCCCTTTGATGTTTCACTGAAAAGTGTATTTAAACACGTTTTACATACAGAAGGGAGTTGTTACAGCTGACACCTAGGCAAAGCAGAGGTCATCCCACTAATTCTAACTGGAAGGAAAAATGAAAAACAAACAAATACAACAACCTTCCAGTTAGGCCTCCTGGCCTGAGGGTGGGCTATGAGCAGCACCTGCCATCAGTATTCTCAGACCATCTCCAGATGATGTGTGGTGAAGACTGAAAGGCACCTCCACAGGCAGACGGCACCGCGGGTTCAGAAGCCAGGGCTCTGGGAAGGCCAGCAGGCAAGGGTCCTGCAGACTGGGCTTCAGGGAGGCATGGGCCATCTTCACCCATCTTCACCGAGTTCCTTCCTCCTTCCTAGGCAACACGGCCCTCCTAGCAGCTAACCTGATGTTTGAGATGCTGTGTGCTCTCCCCAAAGTGACAACTGTCTGAGTCTGTGTTCTTCAAGACAAAACAGGCTGTCATGACAAAGCCTTACGGACATTTCAGCAAGCAGAGCAAGAACTAAGAAAAGCTGTCTGTGAAGAGTCACCACTGGCTGCAAAAAGGACGATTCAGAGCACTAACCCAAACAGCTCATGTTTCTCTCCCTTTTAACATTAAAAATTTAATTTTATGTGTGTGCCTCAGTACATGTATGTGTACCACATGTGTACAGGAGTCTGTAGAGTTCGGAAGGGGGTGTAGGGTCCCTTGGAACTGGAGTTACAGGCAGCTGTGAGCCACTAGTGGGCGCTGGGAATCCAGCCCATGTCCTCTGCAATGGTAAGCGCTCTCAACTGATGAACCCTTTTTTCCTTTGGTTTTTTCAAGCCATCTCCCAGGCCTGCTGTGCCTGAAAGCCAGTGACATGCAGTGACAATGATGTGTCCATGATGTGATAAAATCATCTTGCAGTTCCAGAGGTGCCCCAGGGCCGTCACACATTAAAATAGTTTATTTGTTTCCAGTCCGTAAGATTTTTAAAACAAAATAACATTAGCTTTAGTGCCTGTTCACAATACAAAAACAAAACTGAAAAGTAAAAACATAAACATAAAAAGACACAATTTGCCAAATAAGTTATTTGTTCTTAATAGTATCAAAAGTGCAAAATATTCACCTCCCTCTCAGGTCCGTGTCTCCCTGGTGCATCATCTTTCCTAACAGGCTAAACTGGCAGATTCAGCACTGCATACGTGGAAGTCCTCTACTTACTCAACTGTTTACTTGTTTGTTTATTTTGTGGTAAATAGGATCAATGTAAGTGTTCTAACCACTGTATGTAACACCACAGCCTGGGAGCACTTGCTTAAGAAGTTTTCTTTGTCTTTTGAGACAAGGCCTCATAGCTCAAGCTGGTTTCACCTGCTCATGCTGAGGATGACCTCAGCTCCTGATCCTCCTGCCTCTGCTTCCTGAGTGCTGGGATTACAGGCATGTACCACCACATCTGGCTCCTTGCAACAATATTTAAGGGATTCTACCTAATTTCCTCCCTCATCACTGGGGATCAAACTTGGGGGGCTTATACACACTAGGCAAATGCATTCCCATTGAACTCCAGCCCTAGTATGGAACTCTACTTTGCAAACTGAACAGAGGCTGAGTGCTTCCAGTCCCTAGCCAGGCAAAGCAAGTGGGCCACATCCAGTTTATTATTATTAAGTGGCTGAAAATGAATTAGTACTAGATAAAAGTCTGGGAATCAGGAGACTAGCCCATCTGAAAACAACATGCGAATTCTGTTGGGTGGTAGCAGGTGACAGGGAGAGCTGCCTGTTTCTGCAATGCCTCGAGGCAGCCTATCAACTCTGGGTTAGACAAACAGCAGCCAGTCCCGAGTGGCAGGAAGAAGGTCTTCCACATAGACCGACAGAGGAGGCTACTACACTGCATCTAGCAAACACGATTCACGGGCTGGCTGTCTCAAGCAGACACTCACCTCCTCAAATGGCATGGCAGTACACTATAACTGAAACTGGGTCTTGTGATATGACATTCATTAGCATGAGAAACCTTGGCATTTGGTTGAGCATAAAAGTAGCTCTTATTTGACACAAAAAAATAAACAATTCATGAAAATAACATTCAGGAAGAAAAGCTTGTATCTGTCAAAGGCAGACTCGTGGTGCACACCTGTAACCTCAGTACTTGGGAGGCTGAGGAAGGAAGGCCTCGAGATGGAGGCCAGCCTGGGTTACGTAGTGAGACCCTGTCTTAAAGCAAGCAAGCAACCAAGCCAAAGCTCTCACCCCCTCCATTAGATCTGCAGGGATTCTGGACTCAAATTTGTCAGGAAAAGCATTAATCTCATTACCACTCCCTTCTATCACCCCCAATGGAAGGGCCTTTTATCCTCTTGGTACAGTTTTGAAAAAAGAACAAATATCTGGGGAGTTTTTGGTTTTCAGAAATTACATGTCAAAGAACTTTATCAGTTCCAGAAATGGAAAGTTATCAGTGAGTTAAAACATACTCACAAGAGGAGACCCATAAAATAAAAATAAAGAAAAAAAAACAAAACCCCAAAGCAAACACGTCTGTGTATGTGATACTGGGGGTGGAACTCAGGCTTTGCAAATGCTAGGCAAGTGTTCTATCCCCTAGCACACCCTCAGCCTCCAGAAAGGCATTTTGAGGACTGGGCACCGAGGAGCCAAATGATTGCCTTCACCCTTTCTAGCTGGGCCGGGTGCATGAGAAGCAGTGTTGAGAGTCAGCATGTACTTCTAAGGGTCAGATGGAAGAATGAAGCCTGGCAGTGATTTCTTTACTTTTTAATAAAGCTAAAGACTCTTTGAAAACTACAGAGGGTCCTGGGCTCAGACAGTTTATCACTTACCACTGGAGCTCAGTGTTTAAAGTAGTCAGGATCCGAGGTGCTTGGTTCAAAGCAATTATGATTACAGAATACTAACTGAGTGAATGTTCTGTCCCTGATTTGTGCCTTTCATTTTACAAAAGGGCACTTGCTTGACAGTAGAACACACCATGCGTGACAGTTGTCCAAACTCCCCTTGTGGTTTGGCCCTAAAAACAAAGGGTATGTTGAATGGGCGAACATGATCCGGCCCTGAGCCTGAGGTGCGTGGAGCCAGGCAAGCTGGATTTGATGGGTCTGATCTGGCAGCAGAAGCAGCTATAAGGGAAGGAGGAAACAATTGAGCTGAGAAGCCAAAAACACAGGCCAGAAATAGGATGCTAGCTGCCTGCTGGAAAGGAGTCTGGAACAAGTCTCAGCTCACAGTCAAGAGACGACTCGAAGATTCAGCACTTTGGGGACAACAATGTTCAAAACCAATCGTCAGAGAGGTCAGGTTCCTTGGTACAAAGACACGCCTGGCATTTTACTCGAGAGCGAGCGAGGCAGGGAGGGCTCCTGCACCTGGCTCTTGGAGGACAGGAGTAACCGGCGTCATCTGCAATCTACTGGCTCTATAGCAGCTTATCTACGCTCAGAGAACACGATCACAGGTTATGGCTCCTAGTATTCAAACTCTAAAATCCAGAGGCAGGAAGGCATCTGGAAGAAGGTCAGCGGCTCAGTCATTACAGCGCTTCTGGCTAGGCAGACTCTGCCCTGGCTATGAGGGTGCTTACACGAGAGCAGTGAGGGGACAGGGATGGGGAACAAGGGACGCTCAGGAAGGATCACAGGGCTTTTACCACTGTGGTCAGTGTTCAACCCTCCCTTCTCTTGGAGGGGAAGACCAAATGTAAAGGCTGCATCCTCACCCACTGCTCAGCTGCTTCCTTTCAAAGCCATGCTGGCCAACTGTTGTAGGGGATACCCCCAAAATATGCTTCTCAATGCTTGCTCCCAGAAGACAGTCACATGTAAAATTTCTTAGAACTAAGCCTCTTTCAAAGGTGCAGGACCTAGAAGCTCTGGTAGGCTGTCCTCTGCTGAGCGCCTTGGCAGAAGCGTGGCAGTGGCCGGGCCAGGAGCCTGTGAAGGGGGGGGGGGGAAGGTGACCCACCCTGCATGACAGGTTCGTGAGGGTCCTGAGGTTTGCCCAGGAATGACTCAAGGTCAAGCCCTGGGGTTCTCCTAAGGACAGGGTGGTGTGAGCATGTTACAGGGACAGTAAAGAACGGGATGAGTAGTCTATTTTAAATAGTGCGGCATTCATACGGGGATGAGAAAACCCAAAGGGAAAGACTTTCATCTAGGGATCAAACCTGCGATGTGTTTTACTCCTAGGTGACAAAGGAAAGGTCTTCTAGCCATTGCTCTAGAAGAGAAACCTAAAACCTAGACTCTCCTGAAAATCCCTGTTCCTGGGGCACGTTAAAAACCTGAAGAGTCCATGTCTCAGTCTAGCTCAGGCCATGATGGGATGTAAAACCTTTGCAAGGAACCTTCCAGCAGGCGCTCCATCCACAAGGACAACTTGCTCAGCTTGCCCTTGAGGGGCTTGGGCCCAAGGCCACAGGGAGGCTTCCCTCTGGAGCAGTCAGGGTCGCAGGAGCCCATGGCCTCCTCTTCCACTGTCTTTAGGGGCTTGAAAAGGCAGAAATACTTCTTGTGGCCATTCAGGGCCAGCACGTAGCCAGTGTAGTCCCGCTCCATGAAGTGCTTGTCATACTGGTTTGGGATCGGGGCTGCGTCCTGAGCAAACTCCAGCAGGTACTCCAGCCACTCTCGGTGCTTGTCCAGACTGAGGAAGGAGAAGTGGAGGCTGCTGCTCCTGTGGGAACAGCAGATGGGCGATCAGGAAGGGAACTCAGCTGCAGGCCAACGGGGGCAGGAGAGCGGCCGCACTGGGACTGGGTTGAAGAGCCAGGAAAGGCTTGTGCTGCCTGAACTTAGAAAGGATTTCTGGGGAGCTGGGGGGGGGGTGAGGTGTTCACGCTTCTTCAGAACCGGCAAGACACGGAAGGCAAGTGAGTATGGGGGGGGGGAGGGGCAGTGTGCCCGTAACCTAGCACTTGCAGGTAGAGGCAGGACTATTTTATAGAGTTTGAGAGCGCCCAGGACTACATAGAAAGTACCAGATCAAGTCAGGTATGTTAGTGCTCACCTTTGTTCCCAGGACTCGGGAGGCAGAGGCAGGCAGATCCCCGTGACTTTTGAGGCCAGCCTGGTCTACAGTTCCAGGACAGCAGAGGCTATGCAGAGAGACTCTGCCTCAAAAAACCAAAAATAAATAAATGAAAGCCAACCAAAAGTCAAGAGAAGGTCCCAGTGATGGCGGATGTGTGTCCTGGGAGGGATATAGAATACTGGCCCTCAAATGGGGAGTGTGGGTTGTCTTCCAGTCTCTTTTATCCCAAGTGGCACATAATAACATGTGTAGTCATATGCAAACCATACAACACACAACTGAGCATACACACACACACACACACACACACACACACACACACACACATGTGCGCACGTGGGTGCAACCTGCTTACCCGGTGAATGTGTAGACCTCTAAAGCAAATTTCTGCAGCAGGCTTGTCTTGGTGGAATTGGACAGGATGAGGACCACATTCATGTGGCCTGGCCTCAGGCGTACCAAGTTGCTGGTGTATGTCACATCTGTGAGTTCAGTAACCTCCACAAAGCCTTTTTTAGGGATCTTGCTGTGGAGAAACACAGAGAGGGTTTAGAGATTAGCAGGATG